CGGGACGGGGGGGGAGCGAGGGGGGGCAGCTCAAGCTGGGCTGTGCGTGTCTTAGCAGGGGTCGCCCCTCACCATAAGAGCATGGGGGGGGAATCCCACACAATTTGGATTGAGGGGTGTCTGTCTCCTATAGTTGTAGGGGAGGGGGTTCACCTCGGAAAAGTTTTCACCGGCTCTTCTCCAGGGGTAAGAAAGTGCGGGGAGTTGTTCAACCCGCTTCCCAAGTTTCCTCCTCAGAAAGCAAAGCCCGGCCCTGAGTTCGGATTGGGTTGCTTCTGGTCACTGGTGGTTTGGTTTGTCAGACGTGGCACCAAAGAAGAAAGAAAGAAAGAAAGAAGTTTGCCTTTTCCCCCGTAACAGTCAAAGGTCTCCCCTTCAAGGACAAGGAGGTCCTTGAAGCAAAGGGGCGCTCTTTGTCTCCCTCGAGGCTGGCGATCTCCCTCCCTCCCAGGAAGGCAACAGGTGGCTGCAGGGCTCCCTCCGGAGCAACTTCTGGGGCTGGGAATGGAGGGCAGACCCCCCCCCCCGACACACACCCACAGAGCCCGGATCGGTCCTCTTCCTAGAAGCGGGTCTCCATTTCAGAAGTTCCCGGAATCAAAAGCCCAGCTGGGAAGGCTTCTTTGGAAAGAAGCGAGGGGAAGCGGCGAGTGCGGATCCCGCCGCCTGTCTTTCCTCCTTTTTCCGGGCTTTGTCTCCCGGGAGGGGGAAGATCGATCGGGGCTGGCAGCTGCTCCCTCTTGGCTGTCGGGTCCCTCGGGCAAGGAGAGGGTCAGCCTCTCCCCCTTCTGCCCCGACGCCCAGAGCAGCCCATTCCCACGCCCGAGAGGGAGAGAGAGAGGGAGCCAAGGGGGGCACCTGCAGCCCCCAGCCCCCAGGGAAGGCGCCGCACCGGAGCAGGGTCCGCCTCTGGAGCCCTCGGCTGGCTTCGACGACGTCTTTTTTGGGAAGCTCCTGCCAAGCCCCGCCCACTCCCAGGGGCCTGGTCCAATCAGAGAGCCCCGAGATGGGCCTCTCCTGCCCCCCTCCTCTCCTCTCCTGAGCAGGTTGCTCTTCTCAGGTGTAAAGTGCGCCCTGACTTCTAGGGGGCGGAGTGCCACCTGCTTCCGACGCCCGGCTTTGGCTTTCGGCTTTCGGCTTTCGGCTTGAACTTGGCCTCGGACGCTAAGAAAGAGAGGGAGATCTAGACCAGGGGTAGGCAACCTTTTTGTGCCGGGGGGCCGGGTTGCTGTCCCTTTGGCCGAAGCACCAAAAATAAATAAATAAATAAATAAAT